TTCCTGACCAGTAGCTGCATCTCTCTCTAGGCTGTGTCCTCCTCCAGCGAATGTCTGCCCCCTTCTTCTGTTTGCTTCAGGAGGAGTTGGGGCTCAGGATGGAATGAACTGCCCTTTCTGCCTCTTAGACAGCTCTGAGCAATTTGTTGTTACTGTTCTGCTTTTAAAAACAAAGGCTTGGGTGGCTCCATTGGTGGAGCACTTGCCTAGCAGAAATGAAGTCCTGGGTTCAGTCCCTTAGCACTGCATAGTCCGGGTGTGGAGGCACATGTCTGTAAAAGCAGCATTAGGGAGATGCAGGAAGCAGCATTTGAGGCCAGTCTGGACTATATAAGACCTTGTCTAAAAAAAAAAAAAAAAAAGAAGAAGAAGAAGAAGAAGAAGAAGAAAAGAAAGAACTATTACAACAACACACACATATACACACAAAACAAATATCGTAACCGAGAAATTCTGTTAAAGATTTATTTCTGTAACTTTAAAAATTCATGTGTATGTGTGTGTGTGACTGTGTGAGTGAATGTCACATGTGCATGGGAAACCACAGGCCAGAAGACAGTGTCAGATCTTGTAGAGATGGAGTTCCAGGTGGTTGTGGGCCACCTCAGGTGGATGCTGGGGACTGAACCCGGGTCCTCTGGAAGAACAGCAAGTACTTTTAACTGTTGAGACATCTTTCTAGCCCCTACAGTGAAATTTTTAGCCAATCCTTAAAAGCTTTGTTTAAAAACCAAGATCAGAGTCCTAAATTATGACCACTGGGTGTCACTTGTCCCCACTACCTTTAAACAACAAACAGTTGGATATTCTGGCTATGATAATAGATGAAATGAGCTAGACGTTGTAATCCTGTTTTGCTTTGAATTGTTTTACAAGAGAAAATATCATTAAGCACCCATCAAGAAAAGTTCTTAGTGTGCTGTGATCAGCAGTAATACAACTGAAACTTAAAAAGACATATTTTTATTTCATGTGCATTGGTGTTTTATATATATATATATATATATATATATATATATATATATATATTCATTTTGTGTGCATTGGTCTTTTGCCTGCATGTATGTCTGTATGAGAGTGTCAGATCCCCTAGAACTGGAGTTACTGACAGTTATGAGCTGCCATGTGGGTGCTGAGGATTGAACCCTAGTCCTCTGGATGAGCAGCCAGTACTCTTAACCACCGAGCCATCTTCCTAGCCCCACAGACTAAGCTGAGAAAAACTAAAAATCATTTTAACAGTCATGTAATTAATTGCTTTTTTTTTTCTTTAAAGAGTGTTATGTAACTCACAATACCCATTTCTTTTTTTAAAGCTAAATCATGTTTTTAAAGATACCGTGTTCTGCTTGCATATATCCCTTCAGGCCAGGAGAGGGCACCAGATCTCATTATAGATGGTTGTGAACCACCATGTAGTTGCTGGGAATTGAACTCAGGACCTCTGGAAGAACAGCCAGTGCTCTTAACCTCTGAGCCACTTCTCCAGCCCCACAATATTCAAGTGGGTACATCAATGGTTTTTAGTATATCCACTAAAAATACACATGGAAGGTCTTGGTGTTGGGACTCATGTAGGGACAATTCTTGTAATATGAACATGAGTGTGTGTGTGTGTGTGTGTGTGTGTGTGTGTGTGTGTGTGTGTGTGTAAAACCACTATCATGCAACCATACCTGCAATCTAACTTTAGTGCACTTTAATCCCACCAGAAAGAAATTTGTGCCCATTAGCTGTTACTCTTAATTTATCTTCCTACTCACCCCGCCTTCCTAGCTCTAGATAGCATCTAATCTATTCTGTTGTTTTGTTTGTTTCTTAATTTTCTTTTTGAGACGGGGTCTAACTACAGAGCTCTAGTTGTCCTGAAACTTGCAATGAGGACCAGGCCTTCCTTGAATTCACCGAGGTCCACCTGCCTCTGCCTCCTGAGTGCTGGGATTAAAGGTGTGTGCCACCACTCCTGGCTCTACAGATTCACCTGCTCTTGAAGTTTCATGTAAATGAAATAATGTACTTGTGGTCTTCTGTGACCAGTTTCTTTCACTGATAGGAATGTTTACAGGGGTTGTCCGTGTTGTAGCATATGGCAGTATTCCATCCCTCTTAGTGGCTGCATAATATCTTATTAGATGAATATACATTTGTTTTCCCAACCACTAGCCAATGGACATTTGGATTGTTTCCACTCTTACTTTTATGAGTTTTGTTTCTCTGGACATTGGTCACAAAATGTATACAAGCAGCTGTTGTCTTCCTGGTGCCAAGCCTGGACACTCAGATGTGGTCGTGGTTGATGAATGCCTTGACTAAGAATTTGAAAAGAATCTTTGGTTTTGTCTTTAAGACCGATGTCATTGTCAACTCCATTCCCTCGGATCTTGCACTCAACAGAGGACCCCTTTCTCAGGCCTTATTGGAAAAGGCTGGGCCAGGCCTCCAGGAGGAATTGAATCAAGCAGGACAAGGTGTCGCTGTCAATGCGGGCACAATTCTACAAACCAGCGGCTATAATCTGAACTGCCACCATGTACTTCATGTGGTGGTGCCACAGTGGAAAGCCAAAAACAGCGCATCGTCAGTGAAGGTACGACCCAGCTTTATATTTTTCAGGAAATGGGGTAGCTCTCTGGACTCTTCCCATAGCACACCACAGCTAGTCCCTTCCTGCCTCTTCTCTGTGACATCATCATGAGTTTGACAGGTCCCATACCATGGCCATTTCTTTTCACTTGTAGATGACTTCTTGTAGGTCATAGTTAATAATGTAAGTTAGTTCTTGTGCTCAGCAATTAATGACGGTCAGGGAAGGGTTGGAGGAATATGCTACATTTATTGAGAAAAAGTAAGGTGAGGGCTTGAAACCGGGAGACAGTGATAGACAAGGGCAGCTGTCGCCTGCCCTCTTTGCTTTGTGGTGGAATGTGTCTGCACTCTTGTAAGGGAATCTCACGTTCTCTTTCTCATTTCTTCTCCTGAATTTCCCTCTTTATGCTGCTGTTAACTTCTGTTGAAAGCATAATTGATTGGACAGTGCTCCCAGTAATAGCTGCTGAGTGCTTATTTCTTGGGATCTTTGATTTCTAAACAAGACATTTAAGGAAATGTTTATTGCCTTTCAGATCATGAAAAACATCATCAGAGACTGTCTGAAGATGGCCGAGGAGCAGTCTCTGCAATCAATTGGATTTCCAGCAATAGGAACAGGAAATCTGGGGTTTCCTAAACCTGAATTTGCTAAATTAATCATTTCAGAAGTGCTCAAATTTAGTAGCAGGAACCTGAAAACTTTACAAGAAGTTCAGTTTCTGTTGCACCCAAAAGACCAAGACAACATTAAGGTACAGACTCGGCTTGCTTCTGATTACTTTGCCAACTGAAGTTTGGGACCTGTGTTCTTCTAAGTCTTCTTGGTCTAATAGGATGGGTTTTTTTTTTTTTGTTGTTGTTGTTTTGTTTTGTTTTTTGAGACAGGCTTTCTCTGTAGCTTTGGAGCCTGTCCTGGAAGTCTCTGGGGACCAAACTGGCTTCCAGCTCACACGGATCCACCTGTCTCTGTCTCCTGAGTGCTGGGATTAAAGGTGTGCACCACCACTGCCCAGTGATATGTATATTTTTATAACTTTGAAAATACAGAAGTAAATTTAAAATTATAGAAGTAAATTAAATACTACTGTTCGAGGGTTATTATTTTCCAACTGTGTGTGTGTGTGTGTGTGTGTGTGTGTGTGTGTGTGTGTGTGTGTTGTTTGATGTTGGGTCGTAGGCGATGTAGTAGAGAGAAGCTCACTAAGATGCTAAGCCTTCATTTTCTGAAGGAGCAGAGGAAAAGACTGACACCCAGCTAGCTCACTCCAGTTACTGTATTCAAACATATACGAGGCCAACAGGGGCTGGGAAAGGTTCCAGTTCACAAAGTTATCTTGCTCTTGGTGCCCATGACAGCAGATAACCCACACTCAGTCCCCTTTGACTATGGCAGCCAATTAAAAGTAAGAGCTCCAGGTCTGCCCTGAGTGTCTTAGGACCAAGGGCAGCGCAGCTGTAAGCTCTCTTGTAGCACCAAGGGCAGATTGTCCGGAGAGACAACATTTCTTTAAGGCTTAAACAGTCTCACAACAATTTCTCAGCCTCTACAGATTAACCCAAACATAGCAAAGGCTTTGCTGAAACATTGCTCTCAAAGCCAGACACAAAGGCTTTACTATACATTTCTCTCAAAGCCAAACACAAAGCCTTTATTACATGTGTTACTGCACGTGTGCATACAGAATTCAAAGCCCCGAGCAAGCAAACTCACTCATCCAGGAGGGAGTGTAATGGCTAAAACTATGTTTGTATTTCCAGGCATTTTCAGATGAATTTGACAGAAGGAGTAACGGAAACCCTAGTGACCACAGTCCCAAGGCTGAAGACACACAAGGTTCAGTAAAGTCTTTAAGTTGACCAGTGATTTCTTGTTACTAAGTAACTGTTCAGTGACAGGTAAAGGATGATGGTGATCAAACTATGGAACATACTAAATTATATTCCATACATGTGAGTATAAAAGACTCTGGCCTATTTGTGGGGCTTGGGACAAGAAATGTGGACCAAATTATATAGTCTGTACAGTGGGATTTTTAAATTACCAATGAGACTGCCACCTCTAATGGGTCATGTGACATGTGTTTTCCAAGAGACATATTAAGGGACAATACAAGCCAACACTTCTCTGTCAAATATGGTTTGAGTTCATCTTGTTTGGGGTTCACTGGAGCTTTGTTTTGCTATGTTGCCCAGAATGGCCCCAAACTCATCAAAGCCATCCTTCTGTGCCAGCCCTGGGAGAGGGCAATAAAAAAAAGCCAGCCAGTACAGTGATAGGGCAGCCTGTGACCTCAGTTACTCTTGCTCCTGATGACTTGGTTTCTGATTCTGCCTTTTTTTCTTTCTGGGCAGGTTATTATGGAAGTCTTTCCAGTCCTACTTTAGGAGTTCATGAAATGAATATTGGCCCGATCCTCTTCCAAGTGGCCACAGGGGACATCACCAAAGAAGTGGCAGATGTGATTGTCAATTCAACATCAAACACATTTAATCTCAAATCAGGTAATTTACTGAGACGGATTCTGTCTTTCGCAGTAATCAGTGTGGTAGATCCTATGAAGAAATGTTTCTATAAACAAAATGGTTTTGTGGACTTGGGCTTGTTCCTGTTAATATCTTTAAAGTTATTTCAATGGGCTTCCTTACAACTGGCAACATTGTTGAAATTTTCTTCTCTGCCAGTAATGCTCAGGGATGGGTCTGCTCTATGATGGGTGTGTTGGAATACAAAGGCTTTCTTTCTGGTCAAGTTACCATCTTGATTTTTCTCATGTAGGAGTGTCCAAAGCAATTTTGGAAGGTGCAGGACAAAATGTGGAGGCAGAGTGTTCTGTCTTGGGTAAGGATTGATGCTGCTTCTTGGTGCCAGATTTGTAAGGGGAAGATTGACTCTGGGAGACTGTGAGGAAACTGAAGTCTTTGGGCTGGGCAGTTATGCATTGATGTTTTGTTTTGAGACCCATGTATTAATCTTAAGATGATTTATTTTATGAAAGAACTCCATATGAAAGAAAGTTAAAAGCGGAAAGTTATATTAAGAGAAATTAAGCCACAAAATTTCACTAATCATATTATTTCAAGAGGTTTTAATTCATAAAATATTTCCTCATCAGATCAGACATCTTGCTTTCTCCAAGAGTAGGTTCACCATCTGATTCAGTCTTTTTATGTTTCACAGCTCAACAGAACAAGGAGTATATAGTTACTGTTGGTGGATTACTGAAATGCAAGAGTATTATCCATGTTGTTGGTGGGAATGATGTCAAAAGATCAGTTTCCTGTGTGTTGGAAGAAAGTGAACAACGGAACTACACATCCATTTGCCTACCAGCCATTGGCACAGGTTTGTAGCCACAGGCTGTCATAGCTCAATCCCAAAGTGTCGACTTCCCCATGGATTGCTCCTCACTGGGTGTGGTTGATGACAGGGACACCTCACCTGGAGTAGACAGTTTCCCCACTCCAAGGCACCCCAATCGTTTGAGGAACGAGTAAAGCCTGGGGTAGAAAGAGGAAAATGAACACCTGTGGCCCCAATTACTGGAAAGACTGAGGCAGGAGTGACCTTTGTTCCCACCATGGTCTACAAGTTTAGTCAAAGTCATTTACTGTAATTTTCTGCCACGGTTGTGGGCACTGTTAACAGGAATAATCCAAATGGGCTCTCAGTCTATCAAACCAGCTTGCCCAGGATACTTACATTGCCTGTCATGTGACTTTGGCAGCTTCCAGTCACTTTGGGCCACATCCATGATTAGAAAGGGACATTTCACAGTTTTACCTAACCAGTCAGTTCCAGGGCTTGAGAAACAAGATTTGGAACATGCTGAAGACAGAAGTGGATCTACTTAGCGACTGCTTTGAATGCTGCTGGGCAGCTAAAATAGTACAGAGTATGAGGAAGAAAGACATCCTGCAAGTTCTGGGTAACCAATGCACCTAGAATAGACTGTAACAAGTAGCTCACAGTTTTGGGTATCTTAGTTTAAATCCATTCCCCAGAGAGTAGCTGGGAGAATCCTCACACATGCATTGTGGCTAGATTGTCTCTGTAAAGACAATGTTGTTTCCAATGTGTGTGTGTGTGTGTGTGTGTGTGTGTGTGTGTGTGTGTATCCTTTTATGATCTTTTGAGGACACTAGTAAATCAAGAGGGGGAGAAAATCACCTGGACTCTTTAATGGGAGGGGAGTGACACTGGGAGCCGGGGTTTGCTAAAAGGGACAGATGTGAAGGTCACAAATTAAAATGGGTTTCAGGGTCTTTACCTGGGTGTTGACCTGTGGACAGCATGGAACAGAAACTCCCCTCCACTGTGTCTAGGACATCAAAACTATTTGCTGCCATGATGGTAGAAAAGTTTACAGTGATTAAAGTGGGAGCAGACATTTTTATTTCCTGTGACAACTGGAATTCCTTCTATGTCCAAGCCTTTTGCAGGTGGACCTTAACCTTGTCTTTTGTGTGTGTGCGTTTTTTAAAGGAAGTGCTCAACAGGACCCAGATGCAGTTGCTAAGGCCATAATGGATGCCATTGAAGAATTTATCCAGAAAAAAGCAGTGCGGTCTGTGAGGAAAGTGAAAGTTGTCATCTTCCAGCCCCATATTCTGAAAATTTTTTATGACAACATGGAAGACAGAGAAGGCTCCCTGCCTCCTCCTCAGACATCTATGCTGTCTAAGATTGCCTGTGAGTTGTTTGCTTTTATGAAGTACATATTTGTGACCTTGATGCTGAAGGGAATAAAAGAAAAATTAATTTTCATTTTCTCTTTAGCCATTTTTGGATTTTCAAAGAATGCTCCCCCCAAACAGAACACCCTGTTTTTGGAGAAGAAAATAGAGCAGACAGTTTTCCAGGTATGTGGTGCAGATACAGATAGTGTGGAACGCACGATCTCCTGGATACAGAATCTGATCACTGATGAGCAGTTATCCTATACCAGTCATGATGAATGTATCCGAGACTTTAATGAGAGGGAGTACAAGAAACTGAATGAGCTGCAGGAGAGACTGAATATCATCATTGACCTGGACAAGAAGGCACCTCTGATTACAGTTGAAGGAATTAGCAGAGATGTGGTACGAGCTAGAGATGAGATTGAAGAACTGATCAAGAGCATTCGATTGGCTAAAGAAAAGGAAAGCCATGCAGACTATGTCTCCACATTCGTGGAATGGCAATACATTGACAACAACGTCACATACAGTTTTGACAAAATGGCTAACATGGAGTTGGAGGAAGCACGGAAGGCAAAGAGCAAGAACACTGTGGTCAAAATTAATAATCACAACTTCATAGTGAACTTGAGCACAAACATGGCCATAGGCCCTGGAAGACAGAGTCTCACTGTTCAGCGCCTCTTAAAAACTGAAGGTAAGTTACATGCTCATGGGCGTCAGCCATTGCTCCAACTCTGGGTTTAACCAATTTTAGAAACACAGCAGGTTTTTTTTTATTTTGTTTTTGAGACTGTTTCACTATGTCGACATGATTGGCCTGGGACTCTTTGTAGACCAGGCTGGCCTCAAATTCAGAGATTTGCCTTCTTCTACCTCCTAAATGCTGGGATTAAAGGCATGAGCCACCCATGCTCTGCTATATTAAAATGTAAAGTAGATAAAATTCAAATAACCCTAGTAGAATAATTTCAAGATCTCAGTCACTGAGTTTCCAAAGCATACACTATGGTCAGGAAAATATAGCATGGATGAACCCAACAGCGCAAGAACTGCCATTTAACTGTAACCACAGTTAACTCTGCATTTTCCATCCCTGCAGTTTATAAGCTTTCTGGACCCAGTCCTTCTGGATCCTGAGGCAGTTAAGTTACCTCAGGCAGAGGTAGAAAAAAAAATAGGTTCCTTGGTCAGGAAGCAGCCTACAGGTTCCTTGATGGATTTGATCCTCAGGAAAGAAATGTCTGTTTTGTGTAGGCAGTCATTCCTGCCTTCAAACCACATAACACCCACTGCCCCTGGCTTCCCACAGACTATATTCATCTTCTGTAGGCTCAATGTGAATGAACCCCTCAGACTGTAAACAACCCTGGAGGAATGACATACCACATGTGGTATTCTGCAGCCTGTTACAGACAAACCCTACCATTCACCTACCGACCTTAAGGATGCAGTGAAGCAAATGAGAACTTACATGTAGACTACTCTCCAGTTGTGGTGTGGTGTTCTGGTACAAATCCACACATATGCAAAATGATGGATTGCTCAAAACAGTTAGGTAATTAATTTGTTAAATTACATCAAAGTAGACAATGTGGTAATATATTATTTATGATTTATTAAAGCTTGCCTGAGGGTACAGAAAGCAAAGCTAGCCACAAGCCATAGAGCCAGGCAATGGTGATACACACTTTTAATCCCAGGACTCAAGAGACAAGCAGATGGATCTCTGTTAGATCAAGGCCACACTGAACTATATGAAATTGACCCAGTACTAAAGAGGAGCGGCTCACACAAAGGTGATCACAGCACTTGGGATCACAGAACTTTAATGCCAGGATTTAAGAGATATAAAAGGAAGAGGCAACAGTCAGACTAGAGATCTCCCACTGCTCTGTCTCGCTTTAAATCACCACCCCCTTCAAACAGGCTTCTAAGCTCATCATGATACCAGTGATCAATGGTCTATCACTTTTAACAACATCCTTTTAGAAAGACAAGGAATTTCTTGAATACATGGAATTATGAGACTATAATGCAAGAGGGAAGCAGGTTTTGCCAAAGCATACTGGAAACGGGACACGGGAGCTCTCAAATGTCTATTTTGCAGCTGAAATCCCTCCAAATTGGAGTGACATGAAGCAGAAGAATTTGCTTGTGGTCAGTCTGCAACCCAATGATCCTGAATACAACATGGTGGCAAGCAAGTTCAACCAGACCAGCACAAACTTTATCATAGAGAATGTAAGTCAGCTGCTGATGAGTTTCCTTATGTTTGGAAATAAGGGATTAACAATCCTGAATAAACCCACTCACATATGGATCTGTAGAGGTGGCTTAGGGGGTCAAGATTTTCTTCTGCTCTCTGAGGACTCCAAGTTCCAAGTTTGTTTCTGGACTCACATCAGGGAGCTTACCAGTCTGAAACGGTGGCACTGGCACTCTGAAAGTATGCTCTTCCGTGAGCTCAGTGGCTATGCTTTCATTTCATTTATTTAGTTATTTTTATGTTTTGTTTATTTGGTTTTTCCAGACAAGGTTTCTCTGTAGCCCTGGCTATCCTGGCACTCGCTCTGTAGACCAGTTTGGCCTTGGACTCACAGAGATCTGCCTGCTTCTGCCTCTCAAGTGCTGGGATTAAAGGCATGCAACACTACAGCTCTGATCATACTTTTATTACACAGAATCAGTCAAGTTTGTGTGGCCTGTTCTATCCTTCCACCTTCCCATGGGCTCTGGGGGTTGGGTTCAAGACACCAGGCTTGCAGAGAAGTCACCTTGACTTGCTGAGCCATCCCACCCACCCCATCTTCAGTTTGTGAAGGAAATGTTTGCTGGGTATAGAATTCTGAATTGGCAGGTATTTTCAGAGATTCCACTATTTTTGGACTTCATTGCTTCATTTTTGTATCTCTTCTCTCTGGGATTCTGTCTCATCAAACCCTTGTCTTTATACCCTGCCCCCCCATCTTCTGGTAGCTATAGGTGAGGGAGTAATTCTGACCATCTAACAACACATCTACTAAACAAAGTTCAAGGTTTATTTTCCTTCCTTCCCTCCATCCTTTTCCTGTGGTGCTGGGAATTGAGTCCAGAGCATCATACACACTGACCATGTACACTACCACCAAGCTACACCACCACGGCTGAGATAATTATGTGCTATTTTTTTAGAAACTGCCCTTTTAAAAGTTTAAATTAAGCTGGGTGTTGATGGCACACACCTTTAATCCCAACACTTGGGAGGCAGAGGTAGGCAGATCTCTGTGAGTTGGAGGCCAGCCTGGTTTACAGAGTGAGTTCCAGGACAGCTTCCAAAGCTACACAGAGAAACCCTGTCTCGAAAAACAAGCAAACAAGTTTAAATTAAAAGATTGGAAATTTCAAAACAAAAAATTGAAAGTTTGAAAAGCCGAGTTAAGTGACAAAATTTAGGGTAAGCAGAAATAAAATGGACACAGTGAAGATGAGAAACAGTTGTAGGTAAATAACAAAAGGGGAAAAATAATACCGACATCCTAAATCCTATAAAAGTTGGATGAAAACATTAAGCGTTTGAATTACAGAGCCAATTTTGCCTTTATAATTTTCAGTTTTTGATGTTTTTGAGACAGGGTCTTAATGTAGTTCAGGCTGGCCTCAAGTCATGATCTTCGTGCTTCAATCCCCCAAGTGCCAGGATCAGCACCCAGAGTAGAAGGAAAATTACATATAACTCAGTTGGTAAATTGCATGAGACTCCACATAAAGTCCAGGTATGGTGGTGCATCCTGGTAACCAGAGCTGCAGAGGCAGACACAAGTGGATCCCTATGGTCCAGTGGCCAGCCCGTCATCCTAACTGGGAGAGCTCCAGGCCAGTAAGATAGCCTTGTCTGTGTGTGTGTGTGTGGAGGAGGGTAAAGAGAAGGGGGGCTCACACATGTAGAAGTCAGAGTGTAACTTTGTGTGGTCAGTGTTATCTTTCCAAATTCAGGGGCCGAACTCAGGTCATCACATACTTTCTGAGCTGTCTTACCAGTCCAAAAAAGATTAGGATGTTGTCACTTGTCACCCAATTGTTACTAATGAAAGACAAAGATGGTCATTTGCTATCACTTGGTGAGTGGTCTTGGTATCTCCGGAATGTTTTATTAATTTATAGATCAAAAGGATCCAGAATCCATATCTCTGGAGCAAGTACCAGGCAAACAAAAAAGTTATGGATGAAAAGAATGGCCATGGAAGAAATGAGAATCAGCTCTTCCACGGGACGGAGGCTAGCTGTATTCTACACGTCAACAGCCATGGGTTTAACCGCAGCTATGCTGGGAAGAATGGTAAGAAAGCATTCAATCAATTGCCCCAAATGGGGTGCTGGCTGGTAAAGCCTACCCTGGGGTCTGTTCATTGTGTTGTTCACATTGTGGTGGCCAGAGAGTAAACAGTAATATGTTTCAATTTCTCCCCAAGGGCTTGACTGCCCCTTTGAGGACAAAAATTAATAATGATGATGATGATAAAGAATCCATACAAAATATTCACGCTGAGCATTCCTTTTATATTAGCTGACATATTGGGCTAACGTGTTGATTTATATGCTACACTGAATTACTTTAAAATGTTTTTGTCTTTGCAGCTACGTGTTATGGGCAGGGAACCTATTTTGCTGTCAATGCTTCCTATTCTGCCAGTGACACATACTCCAAACCAGATGCCAGTGGGAAAAAGCACATGTACTATGCACGGGTTCTCACTGGGAACTACACAGTTGGACACTCATCACTGATTGTGCCTCCTTCAAGGGACCCTCTAAACCCTACTGACTTGTACGACACTGTCGTAGATAATGATCAAAATCCAAGTATATTTGTAGTGTTTTATGACAATCAAACATACCCAGAGTATCTTATCACGTTTAGGCGGTGATACTTCAGGGCACCTTCCAAGAGAAATTTGAGTTCATGTATCTGCTGTAAGACAAATGTTAGCTGTTTTCCTCCTTAAGCTTTCTGTAAGAGCACAAGTTCTTTCATGGACATGCCATGGACATGTTTCCTCAGCTGTTCCTCCATGGTGGAAATAAATCCACTTGAAAGCCAATCAACTGGAGAATTTAAATCAGATAGCAGGTGTAGCCGTGCTATCTCAAATGTGACAGTAACACCCTCATGGACTTTCAGAAAGCCATGCAATCCCAGCTACCACCAATGGAATCATGTCAGAGTGCACTGGTGCCATGGGGATGCACAGTGTCACTGAGCCAGTAAGGCTGCTAACTGCCAACTGAACAGATTCCACAGCAGAGAGCCTCTTTCTTCACCAACAGCCTTGCCATGTGGGTTGGACAGCTCCAGCCAGGGCTGTGTACAAACTGGGTGCTGGGATATGGCTCCTGCTCTGTGTGAACTGAGCCCCAGGGAGGGGCACAGCTCAGAAGCCCTGGCCCCAAGTGCTCAAGGCCCTTTTTAATGTTAACCCAGTGTTCCTGTGAAATCAATGGTATGACGCCTGTTACATTGCCAGGGGAAACCCTTCACTGTGTGAGAATGGTGAACTCTGAGGATATCTGCTAGCATCTCTCCTGTGGCAGGTCAGCTTGAGAAGATTTCAAAGCTTTATGTGTAATCCAATAGTCAGATTGCTAACTTACTAACTCAGGGTCTACTGGAAGGGAATTCTTTCTTGTGGTACTGGGGGATGAACTCAAGGCCTCACACATGGCAGGCAAACACTGTACCACTTAGCTACACACCCCAGCCCTCTTTACTTATTTTGAGGCAGGCTGGTTTAGTTGCCCAGGCTGGCTCTGATATCCCTCTATAGCCCTGGCCGGCCTTGAATCACTCTCTTCCTGCTTTGGCTACTTGTCTGTCAGAGGCCTGTGCCACCAGACCTGGCTCAATTTGTTCTTTTAATTTTCTCCTGTAAATTTCAGCCTCACTGCCATTCATTGGAGAGTGAGAGATGAGCTCACACACATGATTTTGTTCCCAGGAATACTTCTATGGGAAGAATCTATATTTCAAGGCAAAGGGAACATGTTTAGAGTACAATAAATGGCCTTGCCTGAGGTTACTGAGGCAGGAACTCTCAGAGCCAGCCAGCTGAGTCTTGGTGTTGGTGTTGAGCCCTTCACTATTCCCACCATAGAACCTGGCCTTGAGATAAGCAAGTACTGTTTCGGCCATCATTCAGTGGCTATCACACAGTGACTGTCAGTGAGTGGCCATTACTCACTGTTCATCCCATGGTGGTCATTACACAGTGGCCTTCATGCAGTGACCATCACATGGTGTCTGTCACACAAGGTCCATCAATCAATGGGGAGTATCTCAGGTGATCTGAGGCGATCCCAGATTTTCCCAGATTTTTTCTTGCTGGATTTTGTGCCCAGTCTACTCCTTATTGGAGTTCTATAGGCCAAGGAGCTAGTGCTCTGTGACATCCTCGGGTGGTACACTCCTGGGTGTTGGGAAGATGAAGTCCCTGGTTCCCACCATGGGGATTACAATGGGCTTCAAGTGGAGCAAAGGGTCACCATTGCTGTCCCTTTGCTAACACAGAGGCCTTGGAACCTATGCTGCTGTTTCTAAATGGACTGGCACAGATTGGCTTAGGAGGGGCTGGCTTCCCCCGCACTGGCTTCTGGAATCTGTACTGACAACAATCTAAGGAAATGCAATAAAAGTGAGACCTGTTTTCATCTGCTTTGGTTCTCCAGTGCTTTGGTTAACTCAGGGCGAGGCTGAATGGCATTTGTTATACCGAAGAATAAGGACCCAACCAGCAAATGTTAGTTTGCTTTCAGACTTGAAAAATGTCTCTCAGTAGAGTCATTTTCCTCCTAAAGGGCAAACATGGGGTGGTGGGGTGGGGATGGGGGTGTAATTCAATGACATACAGTGGCTACTGCTGATGAAAAAAGCCACAGCTGAACAGGACAGCACTGAGTGATCCTTAAGGTTCAGGTGGAAACTACTGGAAGGGCACAATGCGCTTTAAGGTTTTAGAAAGCCAGTATCCAATGAGCAGCCAGCCTGGAGTCCAAGTCAGGTCTTGATAGCTCACTGCAGGGCCACACAGTTATATGTGCCTTGGTCACCTAAGGGGTGTGCTGAAAACTCAAGTTGTGGTGCCACTTCATGCAACCCAGATTCTGCTTTCAGTGGCCACCTAGAAGAGCCCAACACCCTGACACCACACCAAGACTTTGGTACTTTTGCCTTTGTAGTCCCTTAGTGTATAAACACTACTAAAACCTAAACTCAGGGGCTACAGAGAAGGGATCAGTGGTTAAGAGCATTTGCTGCTCTTGTAGAGGACCTGGGCTTGGTTCCCAGCAAACACATGGCAGCACATGACCACCTGTAACTATAATTCCAGGGAGCCAATGCCCTCTTTCTGGCCTCTGAGGGAACCACACATATGTGGTACACATACATACATTCAGGCAAACACACATATTAAAAATAAATAAATCTTTAAAAAAATCCAGACTCTACAACTATGCTGACTACATCCACAGATATCATCAAGACCTGATTAGACTATTTAGTAAAAACAAACAAACAAACAAAACAAAACAAACAAAAAAAAAACAACACAAAGTCGAGTGGTGGTGACCCATACCTTTAATCCCAGCACTCAGGAGGCAGAGTGAGGTAGATTGCTGAGTTCGAGCCCAGCCTGATTTACAAAGCTAAACAAAGAAACCCTGTCTCAAAAAACAAACAACCCCCTCAAATAAAAAACAAAAAAACCCAAACAACAAAACAAAACAAAAAACCCAAACCAAACAACAACAAAAAAAACCTAAAACATTTTCTCGGAGCCTTGAAAGCACAGTGAGCCTAGCCACCATACCTCCTGAAAACCAGGTGGGTGTTAGCCCTGCTGACTCATATACACCTCAGAACAGGACACTACAAGAATGTGTGAGCTCTGCTGGTCTCTGCTGCCACTTGGTATTACTCACTCAGGTGTGGTCCTCTAGCAGCAGGATAGTGTGGGAGCCAGGTGATGCTAGCTTTCCCTGCGATCACCCTCTGACACCTCTTTTTAATCTCTCTCGACAAAATCAGGGAATCCCTTCCCATCACCCACTTTTACAGGTGTCTGTCTGAACTCTTTCCAGGTCTTTGTATAACACCATTCCTTCTCTTAGAATTAAAGACTTCCCTGCAGAAGAGCCTCCAAGCTTCGCAGAGCCCAGCCTACACTGAATCCATTCTGTCAGTCACATGAATTCAGAGAACCTAAAATGCCTCATGAGAAACTTACTTAGAAACAACATTTTCCTGAGAAGTTTCATCAAATAATGCCCATGCTTGAAACTAAAATGTTTTTGTTTCCTTTAAGATCAGGAGAAAGCCCTGACTTTATTGGTGTTTATAACAACGCCACTGCTGAGAGCACTGTGACTCTCCAGACCTGCCTGTACAGGATACTGAATGCTGGGGTTGTATGGATTCAGACATTATGCTTGCCTGCCCCTGTCACCTGGCAGAATGCACTCAGGTAGTATCCTGGTCAGCCCAGGGTGCCAAGGTCTGCACGCAGGTGCAAAGGACCTCTTTAAAAGAAAGACCCCCACCCACTTACGCTCTTTCCCGCTTGTTCCCCTGGGGCAGACAGGACTTTTCCTGTCTCCCTCTTCTCTTCTG